GATGGACTGATATGTAGTAGGTTACTGATAAATAATAGATAATTATGATATCAAAGATTGATGATAGAATAATATATGAATGAAAAACATGCAAGGAAATACACAGAATATAAGTAAATGTAAAGGCAAGACTACAAAAAACAATAACAGTACACATATTTGAAACAAACAGATGTAGACAAGTATAACACTATCTTCCGTTTGCCTCTGTTTCCTGTTTACCGGCGAATCACGTGTCTGTATGTCTGTTTAACCGACTGTCTGTCTGCCTCACCCCTTTATCTGGCTAGTTGGCAGAACTAAGGGATGGAAAAGGGATAAACTATAGAAAAGGGAGAAGGGGGGATGGGGAAAAGGGGGAAGGGAGGGTTGGAATGTGACAATGGAATGTTAAAGTCTTTACAAAAAATAATGAATATCATGATTCATTCCAAAAGAAGACAATAAATAACTTGGATCCTTATTAATATACTTTTTTTCTCAGTTATTTCTTCCCTTTTTTCTTTCTTTCTCTGAGTTCACTGTCCCCATTAAAGAGCTGGCATGACATCGCTCTTAACGACACTAACGACAGACAGATTGTTAAATTACGTTGCCATATTTGTTTGTATTTTGTCCGATGTGTTCGTCTTTTTTGGAAATTATGTGTGTGCTGTTTTCCTTTGATCTGTAGACCTTTGTATAAGGAGGTTGATCGATGAGACTGGGTGTGGTTAGCTTTATGTATGTCGTGTTCTCCAGTTGCAATTTCACAGGAGAAAAATATTAGATGAAGTAAGAGAGAGAGAGAGAGAGAGAGAGAGAGAGAGAGAGAGAGAGAGAGAGAGAGAGAGAGAGAGAGAGAGAGAGAGAGAGAGAGGAGGGAGGGAGGAGGGAAAGAGAGAGAGAGAGAAACATGACAGACAGAAAAAAAAAACAGACAGACAGACAAACAAACAGGGAAAAGGGGAGAAGAGAAAGAACCAGAGAGTGGGAGAGGGGGTGATAGCGAGGAGGGGGAGGAGTGCGGGGACTACCGAGTGGCTATGAGGCGCCAGTGCCATTCACAAATTCCTCCGACCATCCTCACGGGTCATGTGACTTCCTCGCATAGAAGTCATAGACGCTTTTACGCAAAGATGCCATGACTTCCTCAAACACGCTTACGTCGCGGATGCACACATACAGACACGCACTCGAGACACGGACATATACATTATAGAATACACATACACACGTCATAAAAGAAACACACAGACATACACATCTACTCGCTTCAGTGCGTATTGTCGAATCAACCATCCCTTGCATGCACAGTGGTCATTCATGCATATAATATTTTGCAGACCACACATAACGAAGTCTTTTCCTGCCTCTTCCGCGCCGAGTTGTAAATGTCTGTTGTAAATGAAATAATGAAATGATATTAAGGTTAGGATAACAGTTAGAATGTTGTATATGCAACTTACGATTAAGAGAAATAAATGACGTTTTTTTTTTCCTCTCTCTTTTTTAAATAGTATGAAGGCAATATCAATGAAACGCGTCATCAAACTGTTTCAAATCATTCAAATCACAGACGATTAACTGAATAAACCCAACATACGCGGGGAGAAAAAAAAATAAAAATCAAACTTTTATCCAAACGAAGACCTCCTTCCTCTCAAAACACGAAAGAACAACGGAAGCGAAGAAACTAAATAACCATCAGCCATTCCGGAAAAGCGTTTAGGTCAGATTGAGAACACGGACACGCGGAGGTCAAGATCTAAACATTGCTAACGGTTTCCGGAGGGTGTTAGGCGGGGGACAGACAGGCGTCATGGATTTAGCCTTTGGGTGATTCGCGATGAATAGATATTTCTGGGAGGCGAGGCTGGGGTGCTAACGAACTCTTTTTTCTCTTTTTTTAGATTTTTTTTATTGGTTTGATTATTTCGTTTATTCGTTGGTTTCTTATCGTTATTGTTATCATCATCAGCTTTGTTGATTTTATCAATGCAATCATTGTCATTATTGTCATAATCACTATCCTCTTTGTTATGATCATTACCCTTATTATTATTGCTGTTATTATCATTATTGTTGTTATCATTATGAATATTAGCATTATCTTCATTGTTATTATTATTATTATTATTATTATTATTATTATTATTATTATTATAATTATTATTACTATCATTATTATAATCATTAACATTATTACCATCATTGTCATTATTATCATTATTATTTCATCATTATCATCATCATCATTATTATTATTATTATTATTATTATTATTATTATTATTATTATCAATATTATTATTATTATTATTATTATTATTATTATTATTATTACTATCATTATTATTATTATTATCATTATTATTATAATTATCATTATTATTATTACTATTATCATTATTATTATTATTATCATTGCTATTGTTATTATTACTGTTATTTCAATTATTATTACTATTATTATTATTGTTACTATGATTGTCATTATTATTATTATTATTATTATCATT